GAAAGAAAGAAAGAAAGAAAGAAAGAAAGAAAGAAAGAAAGAAAGAAAGAAAGAAAGAAAGAAAGAAAGAAAGAAAACATCATCTTTAATGATACCAACATGTGAATATTTTACCTGGTGATAAATGGGAATAACTCTCCTTCTCTTGAGGCGTTGACTCTTTTATACCCCCTGGATTTATACAATAATTAAATCCACACTGAGGATGAGGGTTGAATACATATACAAATCATTCCAATTGAGTCCAATCAGAATTTGGTTTGTAGGGACTTATTGTTCAGATCAGTCACTTGGAGTTGGAGGATTTATAAATGATTGTTCTCCCCCAATAAAATCTGTGTGGGATCAATCCGACAAACAGAACATTCTGATCTTGGGCTGGCAGAAGAATAGCAGAGAAAACATATGTATTATTGTTTCAGTGTGTGAGAAAGCATCCCATGGGTCCCTATAGATCTATCCTTTTTAAAAATTTATTATGCTTATTTGTTCTGCTTGAGGAAAGAGCATATGTTTTCTCAAGCTCTGGGACACTTTCACCCCAACTGTAGCAAGACTTCCCTTGCATGGGGATTCTAGTCTGCCTGTTCTTACCTGGTGATTTGTAACAGACAAGAAAGAGGAAAGAAAGAAGATTGGTTTAAAGAAAAGAAATAACACAATGTGTACTCTCACAGGGAACAACAGCCAACATATGTTGGCCAGAATTCTATTTTGCTAACCTACGTTTGCCTAAGGGGAACTGCAGAAGTCTTGGCAGAAAATTGCTGCTTACTAACAAGGTGCAGGTTGCATTCCTGGGCAAGTGCCTGATTGTGCAATTGGGTGCTTGCCCAGCAATGCAAGTGGCAGCTCATTAATGACCAGCAACATGCTGCCAAGACTTACTTCCTGTGCACTTTACACAAACATAAATCAGCAGTAGGATTCTGCCTCTTGTACTTATGATAGAATTATAGGTCAGATTTTCTACACTGCATGGATTGTAAACCACATTAGTCCTTGCTCTCACTGGAAAGGCAGGTACTTGTTACCTCAGAGTAGTTGGAGAGAGAGCTCTGGCAAGTAGGATAAGGGCCACCTAAAGACTTTATGGGTCCTGGGTCAAATGTGACATTATGGGCCTTGCTCCTATTTCCTAAAAGGACCCATGAAATCTATTTTTTCTTCTCTTTAGCTAAATTGTGAATTAAACAAGTAAAATTGGATGTGGAGTAGACAAGCAATGCCTGTTTGCATAGAAGTGAATGAATGTTTTCCTGCTTAGCTGCCTACCTATAGATGTGTGCATGTTTCATGAATCTTTGGTTTGGCCCCAGGCTATGTCTGTCACTTCTGTCTCCACCTATCATTGCCCACAATTTCTTTTAGTCCATGAAGGACAAGGGGCATGTTCTGCCACTAGCTACAGGATTGGTGCACCTTGCTTTGCGGGCAAGGCTAAACCCCCCCTGGCTGATTTCACTCTTTGCAGTTTTGGTGTCTGTAGATTCTTCTTTATAAAGTACGCTTAGAGATGGGCACGAAATGCCACTTTGATGCCAGTACCAGTCAAACAGGTGCATGTGGAGGAGGCAGGGCTTCCCTGCCCTCCCTTCTCGAGTTGCTGCCTGAGTGAGCATCTATTGGAGGAGACAGGTCTGGGAACCGCCAAGCACCTGTTCAGCTGGTAAATGATATGGCACAAACCACTGAGCCAGCAGTCCATGCTCATCTCTAGTACAGTCTGTAGCTTGTAAAACAAAAGGCTTCTCCAGTGCATCATTAGATATCATCTGTGGTTCTGGCCAACCATCTAGACTTCCTTCCAATGACAAAACATCCTATATCTTACCTACAGAAGTTTGCTCCTTCCCATTTTAAAGTGCTTCTCTTATTAGGTGCCATTCTTCTCCTTCCATTGCTTGGTGTGATTCTGGCCATTTGACACCCTAATCTGGATAACAGGTTGGTCAGGTCTGGTTAAAGGAGGGATGGCATTTTTGACAGCTCTAGTTTGTGCACCACATTTCAAGTAAACTCTGGACCAGGACTGCAAAAACTATGGTCCTCCAGATATTGTTGAACCACAGATTCCTTTCCCCTGACCAATGGCCAAGTTTAGACATGGGGATGAATAAAAAAGTCAGTTATTTTTCTGTCTAAATCGCCCCCCACGAATCGACGAATAAATTCATGCTTCGCCAGTTCATGGGGGGGGAGCTTCATGCTTCATCAGTTTTGACAGATCACGAAGCAGGACGACTCACCAAAATGGTGAGTTGTCTCCATCTCTAGCCAAGTTCACTGTGCCTGCTGAGAGTCCAACAATTTCTTCAGAACTAGATACTCTTCACCCCTGCTTTAAGGCAGACTGGAAATTATATGAAGTGTGTGTCCTGAGAAGTCGTTATTTGAAACAGATGGGTGGCTATCCACCTATTGATGTGCTAGAGCTCTCAGAACTTGCTTTCCACACTGACTTGCATGGGTAACATTGCAAGGATAATGTTTTAGGTTTTTCTTTAAGAAATCATATAAATTTGACTACAGAGATTCAAATTTGAGAGGTTGCTGTCTACATAAAGATCTGAAAGATTATTACTGTCTAGTTAGAACATGGCTGGACAGTGTCTGCGAAGCAACCAACATGAATTTGACACAACTCCGGGAGGCAGTGGAAGATAGGAGGGCCTGGCGTGCTCTGGTCCATGGGGTCACGAAGAGTTGGACACGACTAAACGACTAAACACACACACACAATTAGAACATGAAAGAATTATATAGATTTTTATCTTGTAAATTCCTATTAGGGATGACATGAATTTCTTTAAGCCCTTTGTGGCAGCTACCATTTTTCTTTTTCTTTTTGGGTTATTTCATTGCCGGTGTCCACACTGACTCTTCAATCCAATGTAGTTCATTCTGCACCCACGATCCCTTCCTTTGATATCACCTGCCTGCTGATCCCTGGCTCTCTTTTTATGGTCTGCCACAAGCGGCTGGGACTGCATACAGAGATTCAAATTTGGGAGGTTGCTATCTACATAAAGATCTGAAAGATTATTACTGTCTAGTTAGAACATGAAAGAATTATATAGATTTGTATCTTATAAATTCCTATTAGGGATGACATGAATTTCTTTAAGCCCTTTGTGGCAGCTACTATTTTTCTTTTTCTTTTCTTTTTTTCTTGCTTGCTACTTCAGGAACAGCTCTCCTATATGCACAAATATATGGAGATTTGTGTATGTTCTGAGATGCAGTCATATTGCATCATGGTTTTATAGACATGGGATTATGCACCCGCTTTGTTCTTCTGCTTTCATATTTTGCCTGGATCAACATAGTAGCATAGTTTATCTGTAATCTGACAGAATCTTACTATATAAATTCTTTTTCCTTCTGGTTTTGGATTTTCCTTCAGTTCATTTGGTATCAGAGGAATAATTAAGATTGTAGAAGATTTCTTGATCTAAAAAGTCTCAGGTAAAAGAAGGTTGATAGTTTAGAGGAAAGAGATTATAATATTGTGGAAAGAGTTCCAATATCCACAGTCAGATATAAACACATTTTGGAATAGCTTTCAGGATCTTTATATCAATTCATCAGACAAAATATTGTAAAAAAAAGAAGATGAATGAGAGGACAATGCTTTGTCAGGATTGGAGACTCTGCCTGGTGATGGTCTTAAGAAAGAATGGAATAGAGAGTCTTAAAAGGATTAAGCTCCTCTAGATGTCACTGCAAATTTCAAGTGACACTGGGGATTATTGAGACAGTGCTTTAGGACTGTAGGGACAAACAAATATTTTATACCTGATTCCCCTCCTTTGTTGAACATACAGTACTGGACTGAGGCCCCAGTTAAACCCCAGTGGCAAACTTAACTTCCATTGATTTCAATGGTTTTCCCTATGACTAACCTTTCCCATGACTAACCTTGTGATAATACTAACCATGTGTAGGGCAAGCAGAATTAGGGCAATTTGACTTTGCATTGATTTGATCAGCAGTCACTTTTGTGATTTGTTTTAGGTTATCACAGAAAGACCCTGGGTTATTTCATTGCCAGTGTCCACACTGACCCTTCAATCCAATGTACTGTAGTTCATTCTGCACCCATGGTCCCTTCCTTTGATATCACCCTCCTGCTGATCCCTGGCTCTCTTTTTATGGTCTGCCACAAGTGGCTGGGACTGTATAAAAGGTTGCAAGGATATAGGGGGATATAAGGGGAAAGGGATGGTTTTTCAAAGTTCTCCATGCTTGTGAGACATGCACAAGCATCGAAACATACCATGGAATCACTGTAGACAACTGGAATTTGTCATAGTTGTTTCAATTTTATATGAGTTTCTCTCTCTTTTTTTTTTTCCTATGTAGAGGTGACTTAACACTAAACTAATGTAACAATGCAATGATAAGGTGATCTAGATCTAGACTCAAGTGTCTATTTTTTTAAAAATAAAGAAAAATACTCTGGGGCAACTAGGGAG